TGCAGCTACTGTGTCATCCTCTAGCATCTGCAGTATGGGTGTTCAGCTTTTCTGTGGTGTCATGCTTTTGCAGAGGCAATAGCATGGCTCTGATTGTAAAGAGTAAAGGAAAGAAAGCTGACTGGTTGGGGAAGTAGTCTAGTGAGTGGTGACAGAGCATTGATCCTGTTTTTACAGGGTAATGTTCCCCAGCATATATGTCCCTATAAAATTACCAATGTCTCTGGCTGCAGCAGTGCATGCGTGTGAGAACGTTTGCTGACAGTGCACAATTTGTCTCAACTCTTGATTTTTCTGGAGATAAATTAAGGCATTGCATTGGCATGTCCTCAACACTTTCATCAGGGATAACTTCATACTGTGATGGCTGAAAGCATCTGCCTGTGCTGTTTTTGACCCTTGGGCGCTTCTTCCTGCTGTCTTCCTTGTAACCAGCACAGTTGCTTTTATGGGCACACTGCGAATCCTAGCAAAGAATTGTTGTGGCTGCCTTTCCTTTCACCTGGAGATGCTCTTTTCAGGTGATCTGCTCCTGATCTGGTTCCCCAAGCAGCTGCCAGGGTTCAGGTGTCATGGCAGAAGTGACTGCCATAGGAAATGTGGCACTTGTAGTTTCTGGTGTCTTGTGATTTCAGCTAATGGCTTAGATTGAATTAATTTCATCAAATTTAACTGAATTGTGGACTGCTTCAAATGCAGATATTCTGGTTTTTGCTCACTTTCCTCCCTTCCTGTATGGTATTGTGCTTTCCTGCCCATTTTCTCTCAGATACACCAGTCTTGCCAATACTGACTCAGATTAGCTCATGGATGCAATAGAAAGCTAACAATACAAACATTCAGTGATTTCTTTGGATCAATGAATTAATGCAACTTGTTATTCTGTTCCATGATTGCATCTTTCACATATTCTGCAAGTGGATTATATTGCTGAAAGTGAGAAAATCCTGTTTCTGTGTTACAGCTGAGGACTCCTGAGGGGGCAGGGATCGTGACCTACCTCATTTTGAACTGCAGATATGCAGGGTAGTTGTTGTTATTTGACTTTCAAGGTTAAATTCTTTGTGACTACAGAAAAGCAAGGTAGTATTCCATGATTCACAGTGAGCTGGTTTACCCAGAGGAACGAGGCAATTGTTGCATTTCAATTAGTAAAGATTTTTCTAACTAAATTCTTTTGGAAACGTTACTTCTAATGTCATTATTTTCAAGTGGGTTTCTTAGTATACAGTCTGTTGTGTTGCTGGAAGTTTTGTGTTCTTATTTTCATGTTAACTTTTTGGCTTCTGAAACTGCAGCCTTCCTACCTAGTGACAGCAGGAGTCCTGAAGTCCTTCATTGCTTCTCTTTTTTTGGTAACAGGTTACATGTTTTGGCAGAGGCAATAGTGTGGCTCTGATTGCAAAGAATAAAGGAAAGAAGGTTGACTGGTGGGGGAAGCAGTCACCAGCCAGATGCTTTGCTTAAGCATTTGCTTTTTCACCCAAAGGCTTCATGTTATCTCCTGTTTTTGACAGACTATAAGTCTCTCACTGGCTTCCTTGAAATTTCTCATCTTTTGTTCTCTCTTGATCTTTGCTGCTTTGACAGCACCACAAGTTCTGTGTCGGAAGGGTGCTCCAGCATTTCTGTTGAAGCTGAACCTGATACTCTGTCTTCCCATAAGCTTCTGGTAATATACAGACTAGAATAAACTGGATTTATCTCCAAACAGGATATAAATACTGATACTCTGTGGTAACACTGTTCTAGCATGTTGGTTTTCTGGAGCTTTCAAGTTGTATTTATGCAGTATTTTTCCTTTTTAGAAAGGTCTTCCCTTGTGGAGGTGTTTTTACTGCTTAGTTTTGTTGATCTGATATGCTTCTAACATTCAATAAGAAAACTACTTGGATTGTAAGTTGCACTAAAATGGCTATCAGAAGTGGAGTCATTAAAAAAACCCAACACTCCAATATTGTGATATTCACTGCGTTTGAAGTGTTTGGAAAAAGCCATCTGTGTGAAAAGGTTATTGTGCATGGAAAGGTACTGCTAAATCACAAAAATAGACTTACCAGGGTGAAATGTTATTATTTTACTGAGTGGTACTATTAATCATCCTGATTTAGGGACTAAAAGCATAAACAGAGTCTGAGTAGTTGTGAGGTTGCTATATTAATGTGTATTTGGTGGTTGATGCAACAGATGATAATGCAGAAACCTCCTGCTGCCCTCTCTCCTCGATGTTTTTTGGCATCATTTTTTTTTCTGCATGCTGTACCTTGATGGCTGTCAGGGTTGTAAGAAGTATTACTCTGCAAAAGTCCTACCCATTTTCCTGTCTCTTCACAATCCATTTTGCTGAGCATTCTGCAGTGCACTGCAGAAGACTGGTTCAAGTATCTTATTTACTCTGGAGAATTACTGGAAGAGCACTGGAGGATTATTAGCAGGGCTGCTAACAGAAATCACCTGAGGCTAGAACATTTGCTAATGTGGGTGCTGACCTCTTTCTTTGGTGTGTAGGGTTGCCAAAGGCTAATAAGGCATGTCCAAGTCTCAGTGAGGTTTTTGTGTGGCTAGGAGTAGCCAATAATCTATTTAGAAGCTGGGTTGATAGTGGGGATCTCAGAGAATCTCTTATCCTCCCTTAAAAACCTCTGTGTTTCTGCTGCTGTTGTGCGGAGCAGAAGAGATTCACTTGCAGAATAGGCTGATAGCTGTGGAGGATTAAAAACTCAAAGCTTACATGGTAGGTTGTTTTGTTTTTATTCGACCTCCAGGTAACAAGAAAAATTGGAATATAAATAGAAAGCTTAACTGTGGGAGTAATAGAATATAGATCGCTTGTACACGTGAGTGAATGACCTTCATAACTAACTTCTGAGTCACTCTAGTGAGAATAAATTGGACTACAAAACAATTAACTCCAGTGCTTTTATGTGCTAGCTGATATGCTAGTGTGAAAAAAATCAGCTTTTTTAAAATGGGTGCAGAGCTCGTTTTGGAAATAGCGGTTTTGGTGGTAGGTTCCCATATTTCCATGCCCAAGCATTGGTTTAATTTCTGTTGTTTTTAAAAGTAATAACAGGTCATCTTTCTACTGAAGAAAACGGTCTACATTAAAAAAAAGGCACAAAACCAAAAAACACCCAAGGTAGAATTAAAAAAAAATCTTTTCACTTGCTTTTCTAGTGTATGTAAGATGTTTGGTCCTGCCTTGTTTTATTCAGTAACTGTGGAAGCTAGGGGGAAGGATAGGGTTATTTTTCTGTTGTTCTTTGCATTTTATGTCTTTGCTGATGGGCGTATATGTCTGAACCTTGACGGTTGCCTTTGGTCAGCATAAATTGTGATGTTTCACTTTTGTTAAGTAATTGCACATAAACCAGATAGTACCTAATACCTTTTTATTACCATGTTGATTGCCTTAGTGTTGTCAGTATTGCATTAACATAGTTATTTATCGTAAATCAGCTTGGATTTTTGTGGGAGTACCAGAGGTGGAATAAATGCTGTGTTTCTGACCTTCGCTTTGTCAGTCTGTAGTTCTCAACAGTAGTGCAGTTATAGGTGTCTTCCCTTCCTTTCATACTTCTTTTGCTGCTCTCACCAGTTTTTGCATTTTTCAGTGAGAGCTTATTCTGGCAGTGTTTCAGACTGTTATTTTTTGTTATTAAGTCCCCACTTGTAAAACTTGGTAAAATCATTGGTACTGTACAGCACTCATTCTGGGAGAGTTGTGACTGATGGAGAGAGTGGTTGAAGTTCATAAAATTTTCTAATTTTAATGCAAGTATTATCTTTATTGAGTATCTGTTACATGATCACAATTTTATGTTGTTCTTTGTTTTAAGAGCACTAGTAAAAAGAAGTTTTCAAATAATTCTAGTAATAACTATTTTTTAGGAAAATGTGATAAATCAAATGAGGATTGCTTGTATAGGTGCCTGGTGTCCCTCTGTGTCCCCCCTCACCCCCCTGCCTTTAAAAAGAGACTATTGTCTTCCTGAGGGGGATGGAACAGCAGCTGTTCTGAATGACATAACAGTTGTACTTGAATTTGAAATAGCATGTTACCCATGACCGCCTTTCTCTATTTATTCCCTCTTCTTCCTCCTTGGTAGGAACCGAGGTGTCTGGTGTGTCCCTCTTCTTTGTCCTTGGTAGGGACTGAACGCTGCTTTGGGACACAGTGTGTAAACCTCCATACTTTGTTGCTTAAAAGTGCATTAGAATACATGTTTGAAGTACCTAATGTGGCACATGCTAAAATAAACACTTTGAATGCTTTAAGATTGAGTCATCAATCCCTGGCTGCTGTTTTTGCATTTCAGTTATTGATATAACCTATTTGGAAGTTACTTTTCAGAGACCTCATCATGGTGATCGACAATAACTGTTGAATAGAGATAAGCTAGAAAATTCAGGTACCTGTGTGCAATATTAAAAGATTTGTTAAGTTCGGATTCTAAGAGTTTAATTTGTCTGTAGTGCTACTTTTTATTCTGCACCTTGGAAAATCTTGGTCTGACAACAGGGAGCTCTGTAGAACAGATGAAGGATTTGCCTTATGGTGACTTAATGTGTAGAGATCACAGTTATGCATCTGAAGAGTGTTGAATCTGTCCAGTGCTAACTGACTGGATGTAGTTAACGTCAAATTAATTTTTTTGTCACACCTCCAGTGTATTATGCTATCTGAGCATGTGATGGGAATAATACTGTAGCTCTGGCCACTTCTATTGTACTGAAAAATATAAGAGCGTTCGCATTAGGTTTACCAGTTTTTAATACTAAACAGCTAAAATAAGGAAATCAGCTACTTTTTATAATTATTATTAAGTCCAGACATGAGACAGAATTTAGTCCAGAAGAAGCACAGAAATTGCCTTTTTAGTGGACTGTTCATCTCAGTAGCATAAAATATTTCAAAGGAATAATCTTATCTGTAACAGGAAATACCTTTTTTTTTAATGAAGAATCTCTAATGATTCAATACAGAATCACTCAGTAATATGGACTTAAATGTTGTCTTCTGTTTTTTAGAAGACCCTTTTGAGGACTTCTTCAGAGGCAGGCGGGATCCAAGGGGAAGCAGAAGCAGAGGTGGTGGATCATTTTTCTCTGCCTTTGGTGGATTCCCTGCTTTTGGAAGTGGTTTTTCTTCATTTGACACAGGTAAATATCACAACCTTTAACAAGGAATGCAGTTTTGATTCACAAAGGATCTCTGTATAATAAACTGATAAATAGTTTTTTTAAAAAGTTGCCTTCTTCATTCAGGAAATTGAGGACTTTTTTTTTCTTTACGTTCAGACCTTACAGAGAACAGCTTAAGTTAAATAAAGCCATAGTTAACAATGTTTGGTCTACCTGAAAGTTCATAAAAGTAGAAGGACCTCTGAGAACACTTTGTGTTCTCAGTTTTGATGCTACAGTTTCTATAGCTATATTTCTAAAGCTATGAAGTTTTAGAATGGTTGTTCTGTTTGCTTTTAGGTGTTGGGGGTCATAGCTTTTATTTAAGGTCCTGAAAATACCTTGGAAAAATGTGTGCCTAAAACCCATGGTACTACTTAGTATCCGTTCCGGGGTAGGCGATTTGAATGCTGACATCTGTATCTTGGAGGTTGCTGAGAGCTGCTGGTAGTCAGCATCCTTTCAAGTGTTAAGATTCTGCGTATTGATTGCAATGTTAGTGATACAAAACTTGTTCAGACTGCTGTGCAGTCTCCTTACATCTGCATTAAAGCAAAAAAATCAGACTCTGTAAACTTACTAGCTTTACCTTGAGTGGAAAGAATGAAAGGGAGGAATTGAAGGGGCTGGAGTCATGGTTTTATTCTCATACTAGTGTTAAATGCCATCAGTTGCTGATGCTGTGTTGATGCAAACAACTAACGGCATCCTGAAGCTAGGATGTAGTCTGAGTGCCTTTGTCAAGGCCAGGCTGGATGAGGCTTTGAGCAGCCTGGTGTAGTGGGAGGTGTCCCTGCCCGTGGCAGGGGGGTGGGAACTAGATGATATTTGAGGTCCCTTCCAACCCAAACCATTCTATGATTCTATGATAAATTTGGATCTCACAGTCATGCAAAAAATCAATCTTTTTAGTAAAATATCTTCTTTCCCAATAGGTTTTACTTCGTTTGGTTCACTGAGACACGGAGGCCTTACTTCGTTCTCCTCTACGTCATTTGGTGGCAGTGGGATGGGTAACTTCAAATCAGTATCAACCTCAACTAAAATAGTTAACGGCAGAAGAATTACTACAAAGAGGTAAGTGATGTAAATATACTTGTATGAAGCTATATGTAGAGACATATATAGCTATAAATACATGCATATAAATATACTATATATATAAATATAGTGATACATGTATGTATTTGTATTATTTTGATGTGTTCATCACATTACTTGGATTTTTCTGAATGCTTAAAAAAAGATAATTTGAAGTTTTATTGGGTTCTCTGACTCTTAGCATTGCTGAGTTTACATGAAGCTGTAGCATGTGAAAATAGGGAAGGTGATGGTTTTGTCTAAACTCTTGATAGTTGAGGAGGGTTTAGACATGTACAACATGCTTTCAGAACTGACCTGATGAAAAATGAAAGTTGCAACTTGTTTGCTGTTTGAAAGGGACCTGGCAATGGAGCTCTTCCAGGTCTTCAGAACCTCCTGTGTAGTGATGCATCTTTTATTATGCTCCTTGACTGCTGTCTGTCAAGTCAGCTTGAGCTTCTGCAAGAGAAAAGTATGCTTGGTTTCTGTTGATCATAAAGCTTTTAACATTCTGAAACACAAAACAATTTCCCCTAACATATGATCTAGTTTTCTCTCCTAGGCAGTGTCTTAGAAAAGTTTTTTATGTAAAAAGTAATGTTCTTTTATCTGTTAAGTGAAATAAGCAAACCTACTTTGGAGGAAACTTTCCCTGTTTGTTGCAAAGCGAATTTTGAAGTACTGTACACAGAGTACCTTCTCACTATTTCATGCTTGTGATGGGGAAATCTCTGCATTTGGGAAACCTGAATATTAGATAGCTATAGATAACCTACATGGAACATTATCCTTGATAAGCTATAGGAGTACCGAACGTGTCATTAAGTGTAATTTCAGTACTTCATAAAAATTTCCAGAAAAGCAAGAGAAAACCAGTGTTTCTGTTTGGTAACTTGTCTCTCATACTTCCAAGTGCAAAAGTTGTTCTATGTCCTGTTGTACTGGAGAGACCCTGTCATCTTGACCCCTTAAATGTAGCCTTTGTCATCACTATGCTGTTGTGGTCATCATATTTTTCTGTGAGTGTATTCTAGAAAAATCTGAAAACTGCCCAGGTTTTGGGGTAATTGTACCAGATGAGAGAGACCAAAGAAAGTGTGTGCAAAAGAAGATGAGGCACCTTGTTTGTTTTAATATTAAAAAATGGTTTAAATCAGGTATGCTACTGTCATACCTTTTGTTGTTGTATTTGGAGGGAGAAGCAAGAAATATGGTTAACCACATCCAGGAAGACACATTTAGTACCTCTGAGAAGTCCTGTTACTTTGTAAAATGTCTTCCCATAAGGCAGCTAAGTCTAAAAAAGATTAATATCCTGGCATACCCAGTGAAAGTCTTCTGAGTAATATTTTGCTTCAGGCAAGAAGCCGTTCCTTCTGTTCATAATATGGGTGTATTCTCTTCAAGAAGTGTGATCTCCAGAAAAAAATTACATTCGTCCATGTGGTTTTGTCATTTGAATCGTGAGGGGAGAATTCCCATGTAATTAAAATTTAGGCATAAATTTTAACTGTTCTGAAAATAATTTAAGCATTCCTTATCTTCCCATTTTTAAAACAAACAAAAAAACCCCTCCAAACCCAAAGAGCTCTTTAATCTCTCCTTCTGGTCAGGGATGCTTAAATTTTGCAATGTACAGGCTAGTCATAAACTTGGTATACAGTAGGTGTCCAAATGAATTGCTTTGATCAAATTAAAAGTGGATTGAAGACTATCTTGCATGCTTTACATCATGCAAAATTGTGTTTGGATCTGGAATATTATGCATTTAACAAATGGAGTAGGCACTAAATGCAACATCAAGGTTGTACAGTTAATCTGTCAAAAGACATTTAGTTCTAGAAAATAGTGCTTTGTGTCAGTACAACTGTGACAGTGTATGAGGTGACAGCTGTAACTGTGAACTCTACAAACTGGAGGATTCAGAAAGCAATTTTCCTGCTATAAATAAGCAATACCAATGGGGGAATGCAGATGGTTACTAGTTACAGCTTCTGCACTGTTAAATAGAAAAGCTTGCCAACTACAGTTGCATTAAGCAGGCAGTGCTCTGTTACAGTTCGTTATCTAAAAACCTAGGTCTGGTGTATATTTTCAAACTGCTTACAGGGCTTTAAAATGGCTGTGCTTTTGTCCTACAGAATTGTTGAGAATGGAGAAGAGAGAGTAGAAGTTGAAGAAGATGGCCAGTTAAGGTCGCTAACAATAAATGGTAAGGAGCAGATGCTACGCTTGGATAACAAGTAATTCAACGCACGCACTTAACAGAAATTTTAAGCTATAACAGCCACCATTTGAGGATTGACAGGAACATTTTTTGAAGATTTCAAACCAACTCAACTTTCTGTATATCCGTACTTAATCTTAAGTAGTATAAATAGCTCACTGAAGCTCGTTATTTGTCATAGACTTTTGAGTTAATTGTTGGGACCACATCAATTGGACCATTTTTTGTCCTTAAAATTGTTGTAAATTTCTGTATGCACTTTTCTTTTTATTATATATGATCAAAGTGAACCATGATCCTTCAGTAGTGCTAAGGCAAGATGTACACTAACACTAGCATGAATCTTGCTTTTTCCAATTTGTTTGAAATGTGAGCCAACTAGTAGTTTGTCTGCTGTGAAGTTAACATTTCCAGGATAACCTTTTTAATAATTTCAACTTTTTTTTTAATGTTTAGTAGTGAACAATGTTAATACATTTCTGGTAATGCATTTCTGGTTTAAATAAATTAAGGATGTTTTCTAGTTGTGCATGAATGCAGACAACTTAGTTTTAACAAATGTTTAAATGTGTAATGTAAGCAAAAGGTAAACAAAAGTGAAGCCAGTGAGCTGGGTCTTTTGTCATTTGCAAAAAAAAAAAAAAATTCAAAATGAATAAATGCTAATGTTTGTGGTGCATTCTTTCATGAATGGAATTTGTAACCTTCTTGTGTCTGTGTGTGATTTGGGCAACTTGGGAAAACAGTGCTTCCCCCCCCCACCTTTTTCTTCAATCTTAAGGATGAGGGCCTTTTTTCTTTGCAGATGTTTTCTTCAATGTGACTGAAAACATTATATTTAATTTCTTTTCTAAACCTGTATTTGAAGCACCTATTTTTAAGAAGCATTAGAGGCTTACTCTAACTCCATCTTTTGCTCTAATAGATAATTTTTTTTAGCCATGAAGTAACTCCCTCTGTTTAAAAATAAAGTTTTCTAAAGCTTTAAGGTCTGAGATTGCGTAAAAAATAATCTGTAGTGAACATGAATATACAGGAAAAAATAATTTAAAAAAGGCTCTCTGAATAATTTTTTTTTGCTTATTTTGAGAACAAACAATTGCTTTGGAGAAGATTTGTTCTAAATTATTAGGGTTAAAATATCTCCCTCTTATTTTTACTCATCAACCAAAAATCAAAAGATGGACGAATGCCTGTTAAATTAATGAAGCGTTGATTTGTAGCTAAGACCAGATTTTCAAAGTTTGGTGAAAGGTGACTTGATTTCTGTATGTCATAGAGAAAGCATGCAAATAAGTATTGGCATATGTTAACACCTGCCAGGCTCTGGGTAATTTAATGCATAAGTCATGGATGTGCAGTTATTTGTGCACCAGCTTTGAACATCTGGCCTTTAGGGTGGCTTACTGTTTTTTTTGAAAAAAAAAAAAAATGGTGTTTTCAAATGATCACTTAATGCCTTCTTGCTGAACACCGTCTGCTTTGTACTAACAAATGCATTGATTTTTAAATCTATCAGAAAGATTTGCTCCTGTTTATCATGCAGGAAAACCAAGTCAGCTTAACCGAAACCAACAATCTAACAAACTGCTACAACAGAATTCATGTTTGGTGCAAAGTTAGTGTGTCTTACATTTGTCCCTCTACCATTAATGCTAATTTCACAGAACCAAACAAAATAACAGGTAGAAGAAGAAATAAATATGTACTTTGGTTTTGGGACTACAGAAGTTATGTACTTTTTCAATTTCTTTGCATAGTTCTTATTACTTCAGTGTTGTGTTTTTGATGTAAGAAGCACAAACTCAGTTTAGAACTAGTTTTCTTGTCAATGCTGTTTTTTCCTTTCCCATGTATGTTCTTTCCTGATCCAGATAACTAAACACACAATTTATTTCAAACATCTGGCTTTGTTGTGATGTCTTGAGTTATTAAAAATGTTAATTTATATTTATAGGACACAGTGTGCTCCTTTAAGTTATGTAAACTGTAAAAAAGTGCTTCAAAATTGATTAACCAACTCAAATAAACTTAGGACAATCTGGAGTTGAGTTTGAATTCCTTCCTGTGGATACCCATAGGTTCTAGGTTAAGCTGCAAACTTCACCATCTATTTTAATCCCAGGTGATCTTCTTTAACATTTAAATTAATTACCTCAGGTTGAAAGCAATTATGGTAGCATAGGTGCTAGTGGCAAATCTATACCCACGTGCTTGCCTTAGATCTTCCTACCCAGAAAAGTGTGGTCTTTGTCACAGTATTATATAAAAACTGTTCAGTCCAGGGTTCTATAATGAAATCCTTTAACACTGTAAATTTGCTGAAGATCCAGTGTTTGGATGTCTCTCTTCTACCTTGAGATCCCTGAAGCTGGTTACTGTCAGAGTGGGACAAAATACAGCGCTAAATGGCAGTGCTACACTTGCTTGGTAGAAAGAGAAACGGGCAAAACGCAAAACCAGATGAGAATAAATGAGTCAGCACAAGGCATAATTCATCAGTAAAGATATCTACAGTAGTAAGCAGATACCCATACACCAGTGTTTGAATAGGGTGGTGGTTGAGCTGGGTGGATACGTGGTCTTGGTCCAAGTATATCATTGGACTGGCAGTTCCAGTTCCAGATGTAAAAATTTGACATCTTCTTACCCTTGACCTAAGCCTAGGAGTCTCCACCTGTTTCAATATGTAGAACACAGATTTTTTTTTTTTAATAACACTGCATCCAATTTCTTTTTTTAATGCAACTTCTTGTATCCAATTTCATTTTTAATACACAAAATGAACTGTCATTCTATGTTTACAATTTAAATTCTTCAGAACTTCTTTTTTTGTGCTTCTGAAATGAGTTTCTTTTCTCTTGAAAACCCCCATATTAGGTTTCTCTGAAAAATTTCGTGTTGTTCCTTACTGATACCTAGTTAGCATGGATGTACAAAACCTACTCACTAGAAGTAATGGATCATCAAGGGCAACAGATTTCCTTAAACTTCAGTTTTGGACAAAATGATTTTATGATTCTATTATTCTATCAAATACTTAAAAGCTTCTTAATTCTAGCAAATGCTAGGCATCAAGTGTGCAGTGAGATGAGGTAGCTTTCAAAAACAGGTGCCATTTGATTAAAAGCACAATCATTTCATACAGGAGGGATTAATGTTGAATGTTCAGGGACAACCATTCCATTTAAATTCAGCTTCTTCCAGTGGTTTGGAAAAACTAAGATGGAGTTTTTGAACCTGCTAAGTCACTCTTTCATGCTCTGCTTCAATGTTCTTTGGCAGAATACAATAACTTTGTAATTCTTTTCCTTGGTGCAACCTCTTTTTGGTCTCTGGTGCATGGCAGTAATTTCAGTGCAGTACACTGTAACAAAAGTTTCTTTTTAGATTGCATGGCACCTTTGCCTTTCACTTGGCTTTACTGAAAAAGTCTGGGATTTTGCCTTGGCATGCTTCACACTTTAAAATTCCTGCAGTTATTGTAGTTCTCGGTTCTTGCAATCCCTTCTCTGTTGAGAATAACAGGCACTGTTTTGTGGTGTGACAAAGCTGCTCTGCAGAGTAAGCATACGTAGTGTTTGTAATATATATACTGTATCAACTTGTGATTGATGGACTGAGTCTTAGAATGCTGAAAACAAGACTTGTAAAAGACTTAAAAATTATCTTTAAACAAGGCCAAGGGTTTTATATCTCTGTCAGTGTTGGTGTTTGGCTGTCCTGTTTGCTTGCCTCCTGCGGTATGTTAGCTTTAGGTGTGAGTGGAGGTTTGTCTTTTGTATTTAGCTGTGCTTCTGTGTTTCAGACCATCTCTGGGATGGTCCAGTGATATAGGAAGTTAGATTTTGTGTTTTATTTTTGGAAATATGGCTTCTGTTCCTGAATTTGCTTCTGTTCTGTTTGAGAAGTGAGCTTGTCTCCTACTTTGCCTTAGTATAATCTGTGATCGTAACAGGATAGTGTTTACTTCTAAAATGGTTGCATTGCAAAATGAATTCTACAGCTGTGTGATGCTTATGGTCAGAGAACTTTTCAAAAGCACTCAATGTTAGTGCAGTGCTTTGAGTTGGTATTTGAATACTCCTTTTTTTGTGGAAGTACTTTTGGAAAACTTGTCCCTTTGGTCGTGATTTTTGGATGTCTTTGGATTCAGGCTTATTTTTTAAGTCATGCTGTTCTCACAAGGTAGTTGCGATACAGATGTCAGTAATCTGTCCATCAGCAGTAAGCCGGACTTTGAAATGTTACTTTTTTTTTTAGTGTAAGAAAAGGAAGGTTGTTTGTACTGTCTGTTCCCTCTGGTCTTGTTTACTTTGGCTTGCTTTAAGTAGTACTCAGCATAGACAGTTGGGGTTTTCTTGTTGTTATTGCTTGTCTTCAAGTGGTTGTCTTAAGTAAAAAGCTTTTTATCTTCCAAATGAAATGCTGAAATGGTCCTTATGTTGCAGTAGTGCTGGAATTAAGCATATTTACTTAGTGTTGCAAACTATACATTTTGAATTCATAATTTTAGTGGGTTTACTGCTTGATCTGCTTTGGTTTTGGAAAAAATACTTTGATTAGAGGTGGTTGTTTAGTGAGGTGCACTACTGAAAAGTTATAGCAGAAGATGGTTGGTTTATACTCTGCTACATAGGTCATACACTCACAAATCAGTAAGCCCTGCTTTTGAGATGCTATTGTCAGATTTAAAAAAAAAAAATTGGTGTGACCATCTGAGATGTAACCCTGAACCTTTGCAAGCTGACTGTTGCTTGAAACTCATAGAAACTTCTCTGAAAACTATGTTCTGGCAGACTTAGTGCTGGGCTAGGTGTTATCTTATAGCAGCTGATAGAAAGTTAATTGAAAACCCACATGAGTTCTCTATCCCCTGTCATGCTTACCATGACTGAAATACATGCAGTAGTTTGGATGTGATAGTACCCAAACCTGAAAGCTGGGAAGTCTTGGTGTGAGGTAGATTGCACTGGTGGCCCAAGTGTTAATTATCTTCCAGATAAGGAAGCTAAAGACTTCCTGCCTGAGAAGATGTCAGCTTTGAAATGTAATGGTGAGGATTAAAGTATATTTAATTCAGAAGATAAGTAAAAAGTTTTATTAAAAGGATGCTATTAAGTGGAATTGTCTCCTTAGTTCTCTGACTTTTTCTGTGATGCTGGCTCTAGCAGCATATTGGGGTCATTTTAAAATCACTAAAAATAGATCATTTTTGAGCTTGACTGAAAACTGACAATCAAGAAAACAGGTTTTTCGAGGTTTATGTTTATAACTCTTTAAAACCTTGCTTTGCCTTATAACTTATCTTTTATACTGAATCACAGATGAAAGCTCTTTTGGCTATTCTTTTCAATGCAACCAACTTCAAATGAACTTCCTAAAAACAGAAAAAAACCCTATAGCTGCTACTTTACCAGCAGTCAAAATAAAGCTGAATCCTTTCATACAACTGAGTGTTAATTCAGAGAGAGATTAAATAGTAACACCTAGTTCGTCAAGACTACAGTAAGGATGCTAGTCTTTTACGTGCTATAACGAATGACATGGTGCATCGAGAAGGCTTCAGTTCTTCCTTTGATTGTTAAAAATCAAATATGAACTCTCCTGCATTGTTCCTTATTTGTAAATTTATTTGAATGAGTTACTAGTATGGAGAGGAATCCAGCCTGGGTGACT